CTTCCAAAAGCTCGAAAAATTCTGTTGCTCCTGAAGATGAACGAACCGAAAAAAATAATAATGCTCGACCCATAAATCCAAGTGCTTCAAAACTACGTTTTCAGAAACTCAATACTGGATCACATGTTCATAATTTGAAACCCAAAAAAGTTTATCATATTAATAATCTTTTAAAAGAACTTGGGATTCATGGACATGCTACTATGGACGAAAAATCTCAAAAAGAGGAAAAAGCTACGAAAAAAAAATCGATGAAATCTACTTGTTCTGATTTGTCGGAAAAATATGGAAAGCCCCAGGAGGTCATTGGCAAAGGTATGCTTTATTTAATTATATTCATAATATTCATATTTATTTATTTAATTTCATATCCCATAAATCACATTTTTCGAAAACTAAGTCAACATTATTATTATTTAGGAGCGTTTGGCACTGTCCGTGTTGCTCACAAAACAGAACCGAAAGTACCGGGTGAAAAACTTTTTGCTGTTAAGGTTAGTTTCTTTTTTTTTTAATCTTTAATTTGTGCTTTACACAAGAATGTATCTAAGAAATAAATTTTATTTTTATTCAAATTATGATTTAGGAATTCAAAAAGTTCAATAACGAACCTCCAAAAAAATATATCAAACGCCTGATATCCGAATTTTGTATTTCCTCTCCCCTTCACCATATTAATATAATCGACACAATAGATTTGCTTCAGGATACCCAAGGATGCTATTGTGCAGTTATGGAATATTGTGCTGGTGGAGATTTATCTTCCTTGATTGCTTCTTCAGGTGGTTTGGGAGAAAATGAAGCTGATTGTTTCTTTGGGCAATTGATTAATGGTGTCAAATATTTGCATGAGAGTGGTGTTGCTCATAGGTAAATAAGTTATTGAACTCTTATAATGTACGGAATATGTTTACCAACTATTTTATTTTTTTCAGGGATCTTAAACTTGAAAATCTTGTTCTCACCTCGACCGGATGTCTCAAAATTACAGATTTCGGAAATGGTGAATGTTTCAAGATGGCATGGGAAACACATACTCATTTATCACGTGGTGCTTGCGGTAGTGGTCCTTACATTGCTCCCAAAGCGTTTACTGGTAAATGGTTTGACCCAAGACCTGTTGATGTTTGGGCTTGTGGAATCATTTACATGAAGATGATTACTGGTAGATT